GTAGCTACAAAAGCATTGTTTTCAAGATAAATTCCTCTAAAGTTTAAAATCAATTAGCACTATGTTGTTTCTATAGCAACGTTTGCTCATTCATTTTCAAACTTCCAAGCGGCAGGTACAAAGACAAAAGGACACAAGTCCCCAAGAGGCCTAACTCCTTATCCCATTCCAAGTTAAAGTCCAACCCACAAAAGAATGAAGAAAACAGGAATAAGCACGCTCGCCTAGGATTAATGCAGAGGCACTTAGGACAGAACATTTAAAGATTATAAAAGTTTCAAGAAAGCTATGACACTAAGTATCGTAATATTTAAAGCTCAGCTCATTTCTTAATCTGCAAGTACAAAGCATCTTGTGACGGCCGTGCCTAGAAAACAAGCTTTTCAATACAATACCTCGCAACATGACAGTCTCGTATTACAAATATGCGCACTGAAGTTCCTCATATTCTTCTGCTTTACATCTAAGCAATCGGGCTGCATGTGAACCTTTGTTTTTGACTATATCTCTGACAGTGAAACTCAGCTCCACGGTATCAAGGATTATGAACGCTACACTCACTCCGGCAACGAATGCACCCGCTCTGTCGGCTCCAGCTTTTGTACCAACTTTTTCCACAGCACTGGTTGTGGCCTCACCAAGTTTCAGTATTACTTGAGAAGCGAGTTGCACTGCAGATTCCGGAAAAAATTTCAAAAGGATATCAGAACTTAGAAGACTCTTTATTAAGTCAACAACCAGATGGTCCAAACCAAGCATTTTGGCAGCAAGAGTGGCACAAAACACCAGTCGAGCATTGCTTTTACCATCTTTCAACTGGCGAATTCTTTTCCTAACGTCATTTATTGCACGGTTAGCGTTTGCCACAGCCCTTTCTGCTTCCTGGATGCGAGAGGAATTTCTGGAGCTTTCTACATAATTTGCACCAAGGTTTGCGCAAGCTCCGGCGGCTCCTAATGCTATTGCCAAAGGAGTAAATGCACCACTTGTGAAAATTGTTAGCAAGCCACTTACGATCCCAGCACCATTTCCAAAAGCAGAAGTAATCTTGCAATCTTTCCACACGTCATCGAGATCATCGGCGATGAGACGTAGTTTTTTAGCTGTATATTCTGCTGCAACATTCATTTTCTGGACATCTTTTGCGAGGGCTTTGACTTCTTGTTCCATTTGCTTCTTTTCAGCCTCACCCACCGTATCATCTGGGTCGACACGTTTCCCTTCGTGAGGTGTCCTAGGATTGACTGCGAAAATGATATGCAAACAATTGTAACCATGAAACTTAGCCCTAAAACAATAGAGCTTCGTGCTAACAAGATCCAATGAAATTAGAGGTTCTAGAGAGCCTCATGACAACAGTTTCATCTAAGACAAAAATAGTCATAAACGGCAAATAGCAAAAATACACGAGCATTAGAAATGCTTGGGCTTTGATAAATAGAAATCAAGGAAGAAGCGGAAAAGGGTGGACCGGATAGTTACTCTCTAGAATGACCTGCAATCGGTTCACTAGCCAAAAACCTGCAACAAACTTTGGTGTCAATTGTTCCGTTCGCTAGAAAATGTCCTGCAGAGTTCGAACACCTGAAAACCTCTGCACATTACTAAGGTTAGAAAAACAGTTATTGTACAAACTTTTTTTCACCCAGCCCCGTTTATTTCCGCTTAGTCAATCCGCTTGATAAATTTTATTACTTTTATCTTTTTTTTTATTTGTAGTGCTACTTTTTAAATTTCAAATTTTTATAAATATGTATATTTTATATTGTTATATTTTAAAATGTAAAGCGCTTATGAATATTTTATATAATTAGTGCTATATAAATTTAATTATAATTATAATTATTATTATATTACTATTACTATTATTAATCAAACACCCCTTATATTCCAGGTTGAGACCTATCGTTTTAATGATGTTGTGCAAATTGAATAGTAAACTAATTCTTACACGATATAAACAATTCTACCACGACGCCGAGGCTTAGGAGACTGGAAAAAAAGATTTTGTTTATGCGTGCCTCAAACTCAATATGACTTCTTTTGCTTTAGTCCGATGAATATGTCGAAATTGGCCTTTTCCGATAACAGAGTTGATACTTAAGAAAGGAAGACCAAATATGGAAGTGTAGAAGAAGGCGCCATAAACGTAGTCCTTTTGAATTGAAATCGAAAAAATCAAGGCGGACAAAATAGGCTGCTTTCAATATGGTAAGGGGATACACTACACCATATTTCGACTTTTGCTTAAAATGTAGCATTTGCAGTGAAAAACCTATGAGAGATAAAAAGATGGGGAGAAATAAATTTTAACGGCTGAAACTGCGCTAGAAAAGCAAAATTTCGTTCAATTCAAGGACCGCAAGTGAAACCGACGAGTTTCTTTGCACGTGACTAATGACGTAGCATTCGAATCGATTAGATCCATTGCGTGTTTATCACATATAGTTAGTTATCATGGAATCGGAGGATTCTTGTAGTTCTTCTTCTGTTTCTTCTCAAGAGCATTCTACAAAAGACCCAACATGGGAAGACTGTCAAGGAACGCAGCCGACAGTGAGGTTAGCTCAGACACTGACTCCACAAATAAGTCCTATGAAGAAGAATTCGAACGACTTCAAAACACACACTGGTTAGCGATCAATCTACTTCTTGTGGAGAGTTCTCTTTACAACCCGTAATTTTGCAACTAGATGTTTTAATTGCATAAATGAGGTCAAGATGACAACAAAGTTTCCTAGTCAAAGTCCTTGCGATGGGAATTACTTTATTTGTATTTTCGCCTGCAGACCTCCGGAATATTGATGTGTGAAATATTTCTCGGTGTGGAATGTGTTTGTGTGTTCATATGCATAAGCTCAAATCTCGACTGGAAAGTTAAGTTGTAAGCAGTTGTGGATCCAGACCTT